GTGCATTCTGGATAGCTTTAGTGTCAACTTGACACACGTGGGTTGAGGGAGCCTCAATTGGGGAATTGCCTTCATTGGACTGACCTGTAGCCATGTTCATGGGGCACCTGCTTGATGAGTGATGTGGGAGGGCCCATCCCACTGTGGGTGGTGCCACCCCTGGGCAGGTGGGCCCATGGTACATAAGAAAGCAGCCTGATCAGGGGCCAGGGGAGCAAGTCAGTAAGCAGCATTCCTCCATGGCCTGTGCTCCAGCTCCTGCCTCCAGGTTCCTGCCCTGAGTTCCTACCTTGGGCTCCCTGATGAACTGTGACCTGGGAGTTATAAGCTGAATAAAACCTTTCCTCCCCAAGTTGGTAGTGGTCAGAGTATTTTGTCACAGCAATGAAGAAACAAACCAGAACAATTAGGATTAAAGAAAAATTACAATGAAAACCAAAACAGACAGGATAAAATAGAAGGGTTTGTTCACTGATTGAGAGACAGAAGAGAAGTCCCACATACCTTTCAGAAACCTGTGGTAGGTGTGGTAGAGGCTTCGCATGGCCAGCTCCTGAAGAGGCAGGACATGGTCATTCTCTGTGCCTATGGCCTTCACCTCAGCTGGGAGGAAGACAGTCAGCTGCCCAGATGAAAAGGAGAGCAGCTTTACCTCAGACACCTGGATGGGAACGCCACAGCTGCACAAAGACACAACACTGCACATCAGCCGTGAAGGAGGGACAAGGGCCAGGACATGTGGTGATCACTACCTATACTTGACAATTCATGACTGCTGAGCTGCCAGTTTCCTTCCAAAGTGAGCAGATGCTGACCCAGGCTTCTTACCCAATCCTGGCTCAGGAGCACATGTAGCAGCTGAAGTGTGGCTGCATCACTTCCAGTGAGGCTGTCACTGAAGCAGCCTTCCGTCACCAGATTGGCACAATTTAAGCCCCACTTTCCCTCCTTTTACTACCCCTCTAAGTTTATGTTGCTGGAGGCTTTCTAATTAATTTTGCCTTTTTTGAGACAGGGTCTCACTGTGCAGAGAACTGACTAAATAAATGAGACTGGCTTTGAACTTGCAGTATTCCTCCAGCTTCTGCCTGCTTCTGAGTGTTGGGATTACAGTCATATGCTACCACACCTGGTTTACCCTTCAAGTTTAAGAATGGAGGAAGGACTGGTGAGATGGCTCAGTAGGTAAAGTGCTTGCTGTGCAAGTCCTACAATTTGACTTTGAATCCCCAGAACCCACAGAAAAGCAGATGCAGTAGTGAGGCATCTGGAATCCCAGAGTGCCCGTACAGGAGACGAGAGGTGGAGACAGAATTACCAGAAGCTTTCACACCAGCCATCCTGGCTCTGCAGCAGTGAATGAGACCAGCCCTATCTCAAAGGCTTGACACTTGAAGGATTGACACTTGAAGATGTCCTCTGACTTTCACACATGCACCGTGGCATGCACATATTTACACTCACACATTGTATATGTGTGGACACACAAAAGAGGTGGTACTTTGTTGAATTACAGTATATTAGTTTAATGAAGTTTTATGTAGAAAAGTGAAACCCACAAATATACATTTTAACAGTAACTTTAGTGGTTCTTTCTATAAGCATGTGGGGAAGATATGTGGGCCAAGACTGTGAGCTGAAGTCAAATGGTTTTAATTCATGGCATATCAAATAGGCCAACCATGCATTATTCCCTCATAGCCAGAAGGAGAGGCAAAGATTCCTGCTCTTTCTGTGGCAGGGTTGTTCTAACTTGACCCCCAACTTTGAGAGGCCATTGGGGGCCTAAAATCTTCAATTCTTTTTTTCTCTAAGGGCAAAAGGTGCCAACGAAAATGGCTCTGAATACGACTGCCCTAGTTAGCTTCAGACATCATTGTGACACAGTCTATTGAACTGTCCAGATCAGAGTGGCCTATGGCCATGACTATGAGAGATTGTCTTGAGTGATGTGGGAGGGCCTAGCTGCTGTGGTGGCACCATCCCTAGGCAGGTGGCCTGCATTCCATGGGCTAGCTGAGCATGAGCCAGTGAGCCAACCTGGAAGCAGTGTTTCTCTGTGGTTCCTGCTTGAGTTCTTGCTCTGACTTCCCTCAGTGATGGGCTGTGAGCTGGAGTTGTACGCCAAGTGAGTCCTTTCCTCCCTAAGTTGCTTATGGTCAGAGGGTTTTAGCACAGCAACAGAAAAGCACTAGAACAACCCAAGATAATATCTTTAATCTTGACAAGAAAAGGCAAAGGCACATTGAGCACAGGACTGGAAAGCAGAAGCCCTGGGCTCGATGGCTCATTAAAAGTGCTTTCCTGTGTCTCTTCCTTCATTCCCTTGGAAAAGTTATAGAACACCGAACACATTTCAGCTGGTCAAGATACTGAGACTTAAAACACAATGTGACTCCCTTGGTATCAGGAGTGTTACATTGCAATAGTTCTAAGGCAGCGGCAAAAGGAGAGGAGCTGAATGAGTCTGTCCATGGCAGTGGGTAAATTTTAGAGGGGTGCATTCTGACTTAGAGCTCCCCAATTCCAGCAGGAATGAAGGCTTTGTGGAACAGCATACCAAGTAGAAGGAACAGGGGACACAGCAAGCAGTATCAAACACTGAAGACTGCAGCTATGCCTAAAGTTCCAGGGGGGCTGGAAAAAGGGACCCAGGTTGTCGAAGGATGGGCGGGGAATGTTAGCTGAAGTCAGATGGTTTTAATTCATAGAGAAGACTATTCATGGTTCTTTCTAAATTATCTGGCCATATTATGGTGGGCAGGAAAAAGAATGCTAGAAAAGAGGTTTAAAAAAGAAAAGAACCCCCACCACACACACACAGAGAAAGAAACAAGAATGGGGATGCTGTGAGGATCCTCCTGGGGAGAGAGGGTACAGACAGGAGCTAAGCAATGGCCATCTGGTAAGAAGCAGGTTCCAAAAGCAAATGATTCACACTTTGCAACTACTGATAATTTGGGGGTTTGATCTGTTTGAAACATGAAGTGAGCTGGACTAATTCTACCTAGTGACTTCTGAGCTGGTTCTGTTCACTTGATCATATGAGCTGTGGCATTTTAGCCAGAACTGTTTTTGAAAAGGTTATTTCAAAACAATCTAATATTGATTTTTAAATTATAAAAATAATAACTCATTGGTACCAGTTAAACAACATTAAAAAAATGAAAAAAAGTGAAGAATTTCCTTTAGGCTCCCCTCCTCAAACCCTCTCTCCACACTCCTTAAATTAACCACAATGATCATTTTGACATTTTTCAGTGTATTCTCTCTAGCTCAGGATAAAACATGCAGAGACAGATTCTTCATTTCATTCTTTTAAAATTCTTAATCAAATGGGATCATACAACACTATAAAGTAGTTTTGTTCATGTAATTGTTGGGTCCCAATCATGACAGACTTAGCAAAATCTTTTGGATAACCACATAATATTCCACAGTGTGATGGAATCATTATTTATTAACCTAGTTACTATTTTCAATTCAGTTTCCTTTCTATTACACATGCCATAATAAAAGTATTACACATCCTTATGCACAGCAATTTTCATTACTGACGATAAAAATTCCCAAAGTGGAAACTTGTAAATGAGGTAAAACAGGTCTTTCAACATTAAGTATAATATTAGATGTTGATTTCCTATGGTATCTTTTATCAGATGAAGAAATTCCCTTACTAGTTTGCTGAAAGGTTTTTCTGTTTGTCTTTTAAATTAGGAATGTCTGTTCTATGTCTTCCCCTTAGCAGTAAGAACAGAAAGTAGAGGCCATTTCCAACTGAAACCTAACTTCAAATCATCTCAAGTTGAAGATGAATTAATTGCCAGCAACTGAAAACTGCTAAAAGGTCACTGTACTACTCAGGGTCCAGCCAGGAGTCAGAAAACCACTCGTAATTGAATGAAGGAAAACTTGGAGTATCCACTGGAAAGACTATTAACTACTAAAAAGAGTTGTGATGGTTAATATCGTCAACTTGACAGGATCTAGAATTATCTAGAGACAAATCTTTGGGCATGTCTGCGAGGAAGTTTCTAGATTGGGGTGAGGTGGGAAGATTCATCCATCCTAAATGTGGGTGGTACCAGTCCATAATTTTTGAATCTCTGAATGCATTGTCTCAATTATCGTCAACTAGTTAGTTCATTTTAACAAATGTTAAAGAAAAATAGAAGCTATGCTACAGTGCAAAAACCCTACCAATGACTTTGGTCTTTCTGAAATTTTAGTATGTGATTTAGAATAAGATTTTGACATAGAGTTGAATCAATTTAAATGAATTTGATGATGGAGCATACATATTGCTTATGAATTTAATATTTATATTGAACTATATAATTTATTTAATATCTTAAAAAAGAGAGAGAAAGCCAGCTGAGCAGAACATTAATCTCTCTGTTTCTTGACTGTGGATGTGATGTGACCAGCAGTCTACGTTCCTGCTGCCATGGCTTCCTTGTCATGATGGATTGGACCTTCTCGCCTTCTGAGCCAAAATAAACTCCTCCTTTTCTTATTCTTTCCAGATATTTTGCCATAGCATCAAGAAAAGCAACTAGGAGACTGGAGAGCTGGCTCAGTGGTTAAGAGTGCTGGCTGCTCTTGCAGAGGACCTGGGTTAGATTTCCAGCACCCATACGGCAGTTAACAACTGTTCATAACTCCAGTTCCAAGGGATCTGACACCCCCTTCTGACCTCTATGAGCATTGCATGACATGGGTGCACTTACATGCATGCAGGGAATACACTCATATACATAAAATAAAAATAATAAATAAAATAAAAAAAAGAAAAGCAACTAATTCAGGGGTGCAGCAGAAACAAGAGCAGAAGGCAAGAACTCCCTTGTAGACTTTAAGGAATGTGGAATGTTCTGTATGTGGCAACCCAGCAGGATGAGGATGCCACATTTAAGGAAACAATGCCTTGGAAAAATGACAGCCATTTGTCAAATGGAATTTTAGCAAATATATTATTTTCCAGATATTTTGTCAAATACCGGTCTAGATGTCCTTATGAAGATGTTTTGAGATGAGATTAACATTTATATTAGTAGGCTCTGAGTAGCTCACACTTTAGAATTCAGATCAGTTTCATGTACTCAGTAGAAGGCCACAAGAACAAAGAGTTTCTCCACAGAAAGGAGAATTCTGTCTCCAGATTGCCTTTGGTCTTCAGCTCTTCCCTACAGATCTTGGACTTGTTGGACCCCATGACTATGGGAGCTGAACCCTAACAAATACACATGGTAAGATAATATCTATTTCTGAACATTATTTCTTATTTGTATTTTAGTGTGGCAGGAGTTTGTTATTTAAGAGAGCAGAGTGTGGCCTGGAGGATCACCTCAGAGATTTAGTGTTAGGAATGGTCCCATAAGGTCATTTCTAAACAGCACAAAATAGCCCTGCACCTGGGTAGGACTGATTTGAGCTAAGCTTGAAGGGCATGCTTCCGAACTTTATATCCACACTACAGAATGAGAACTCTGGGCAAAAACATAAAACAATGAAAATGTATGATAAATAGAATGTCTGTTTCTTTTCTTTGTGTTTATTTACACAGGGTCTCACTATGTAGCTCAGGTTGGCTTTGAACTTACAATCTTCCTCTGACTTAGCCTCCTGAGTGCTGAGATTACAGGTTTGTGTCACCACACCTGGTAAAGGTACATTGCTG